TTTTTGTATTTTTAGTAGAGACGGGGTTTCACCATGTTAGCCAGGATGGTCTCGATCTCCTGACCTTGTGATCCGCCCGTCTCGGCCTCCCAAAGTGCTGGGATTACAGGCTTGAGCCACCGTGCCCGGCCTTTTTTTTTTTTTTGAGAGACAAAGTCTGGGTATGTTGCCCAGGCTGGTCTCAAATTCCTGGTGTTAAGCAATCCTCCCACCTTGGCCTTGAGCCATGCCACCCAGCCAGGGAACTTTGAAGTAATTTTTTATTCATCCATTCCTTCATATTTCACAGGCAATCAATCACCCATTTTCTGTCCATTCTTCTCTGAAATGCATCTCCCTGTTTCTTTTTCTGTTCCCTCTGCCACTCCGGGTATTTGTCACCTCATACAGAATTATTTAAAATCATCCTAACAGGGCTTCCCTGATTCCTAGTTCTCTTAAAAAAAAAAAAAAATTTTTTTTTCCTTTCTTTTTTCAGAGACAAGGTCTAACTATGTTGCTCAGGTTGGTCTTGAACTCCTCATTTCAACCTCTCAAGTAGCTAGGACTACAGGTGCCCCCACCACGTCCAGCATTAGCTCTCTTCCTGTTAATCTACTTCACATACTACTACCAGATTAACCTTCTAAAAATGTCACTTCTTTCATATCACTTTCTAACTTACAGTAAAAATCGTGTGCCCTTTATAACCCGGTCCTACCCAACCAACGTAAACTTATTTCTCACTACTCTCTTAAATACGTCTCTGCTCAGTGCAGCCCAGTCATCTCCCATCCCTGGCTCCCCTCACCTGAGTCAGGCACTATTATCATCCCTCTTTTACACAGAGGAAATTGAGGCGTAGAGAGATTAAGTGACCCATTTAAAATATCCTAGCCAGTGAATAGGAAAGGCAAAATTCAAATATAGATCTGACTCACAGCCCATGCTCTTCTCTATTACCTTCACAGTAGGAGATGAAAGGGAGAAAGCTTACAGGGAAGGGTGCCAGAGGCATCAAGAATTTATTCTCTACCACGCTCCAGTTTCTCCACACTCTCAAACTCAGTCCTGCTGGGATGCTTCCAAAATGCTGCCTAGCTTTAGGAACTTCTTCAGACTCTAATCATATCACTTGAGCTGAGCGATACTCCGTGACAGCCCTAAATAACCCTCAAAGGAAAGAGTAAATGCAGCAAATGACACTGAGAAAGTAAGTGACGGAGCTAACATTTAGGGAGCAGCTACATAACCAAGCACTGAGTGACAGATAATTGATTTACCAAGAACCTTATGTTCACAAAGAATTCACAAATTGCCTAGTTTTCTGTTATCTGTTGCCGCACAACAAACCACCCAAAACTTAATGACTTAAAACAGCAACGATGACTTATTATTTCACAGAATTTTATAACCTGGGCTGGGCTCAGCTGGGCAGTTCTTCTGTTCCACATGCTATCTACTACAGCTGGAATATCCACAATGGTTTTTTCACTCTCATTTCTTGGGACCCCATCTGGAATGGCTGGAATAACTGGGGAATGGCCAAGCATTCATCTTCTATTCCATATGGTCTCCTCTGCAAAGTAGCCAGATTTCTCTACATGACTCAGGGTTCCAAGAGCAGGCATTCCAAGAGAACAAGCTGCAACATGAGTATTACTCAAGTCTCTGTTTGTATTACACTTGCTAATATCTCATGTGCCAGAGCAAGTCACATGCCCAAGCTCATAGTCAATTTTGGAGACAACACCAGGGCATGAACGCCGAGATGCATGATTCACTGGGGCCTGCCACATTTGATCAAGGCGAGCAGGTGTGACAGGCTGAGCACACTTTCTGATACCATATGGGATATTATACGGGATTTGTATTTATTATTTGCTTATAGTCTATCTCTCCTAACAAGACTGTAAGTTCAAAGAGGGCAAGAGCTTTGTTTTATTCCTATATAAACAGTATTTAGAACGGTGGCACAGAGTTAGTGGCCAACAAATTGTTAAATGAGTATTGAGAAAAACATCAGAGATACTGGTTATAGAAGACTGCCAAAGTCTACAGTGCAAAAGAGTCATTATCTCAGTGGAAAAATTAAAGATTCTAGAAACATCATTGGCACAGCTTTTGCCCTTTCCAGGCCTACAGAGGCTGATGGAGAATGATGTTGTAGCTGGGCCTCTGAGTAGATGAAGGCGTCTGTTATGAAGAAATCAAATCCATTCTATGCAGCTATTAATGATGATGTAGACCTAGATTTGCTATAAGGAAGTATATTAATGACACATTATTAGCTCAAAAGGGCAAATTTCAGAACTTTATATACAGTTAAATTCCATTTGCTCTTTTTTTTTTTTTTTGAGACAAAGTCTCGCTCTGTCACCCAGGCTGGAGTGCAGTGGCAGGATCTTGGCTCACTGCAACCTCCAAGTCCCAGGTTCAAGCGATTCTCCTGCCTCAGCCTCCCGAGTAGCTGGGATTACAGGCGCCCACCTTCATGCATGGCTAATTTTTTTTGTATTTTTAGTAGAGACAGGATTTCACCATGTTGGCGAAGCTGGTCTTGAACTCCTAACCTTGTGATTCACCCACCTTCGCCTCCCAAAGGACTGGGATTACAGGTGTGAGCCACGGTGCCCGGTCTATTTGCATATTTTGAAAGCTCTGCATATAGATGCCAAAAGGTACATCTTTAAAAAATTTTGTGAAAGATTCGCCAAAAACTAGCAACCAGTGCCTACCTTTAAGGAGAGGATAAGAAAAAAACCTAGGGTTCAGGTAAGTAACGTGAGGGAGACTTGAAGCTCAGTAATAGGTTCATGGGCTTTATTATACTATTCTCCCTACTCTTGCACAGGCTAGGGATTTTCCATTAAAAAGGGTGTTTTAAAAATATGTCTGGGCCTGGGCACCATGGCTCACGCCTATAATCCTAACACTTTGGGAGGCCAAAGCAGGATCATTTGAGACAGGAGTTCAAGGCTTCAGTGAGCTAATGATTGCGCCACTGCACTCCAACCTTGGTGACAGAGACCCTATCTCTTGAAAAAAATAATAAATTAAAAATGTTAAAATAAGGCTGGACATGGTGGCTCATGCCTGTACTCCCAGGACTTTGGGAGGCCAAGGTGGGTGAACCACCTGAGGTCAGGAGTTCGAGACCAGCCTGGCCAACATGATGAAACCCTGTCTCTACTAAAAATACAAAAATTAGCCAGGCGTGGTGGCGGGCACCTGTAATCCTAGCTACTTGGGAGGCTGAGGTGGGAGAATCGCTTGAACCCAGGAGGTGTAGGTTGCAGTGAGCCAAGATCTGGGCAACAAGAGTGAAACTCAGTCTCAATCAATCAATCAATCAAAAAAATAAGTCTGGCTGCAGAGTGGAGGATGGAGATGGGAGAAGGTCAAAACTGGAAGGCAAAAAGACAAACTAGGAAGCTAATGCTGAAGTTCCTTAAGAAATATAACACTTTAGGATGGGCACGGTGGTTCACGCCTATAATCCCAGCACTTTGGGAAGGCAAGGCAGGCAGATCACGAAATCGAGACCATCCTGGCCAACATGGTAAAACCCCGTCTCTACTAAAAATACAAAAAAATTAGCTGGGCATGGTAGCATGCGCCTACAGTCCCAGCTGCTTGGGAGGCTGGGGCAGGAGAATCACTTGAACCTGGAAGGCAGAGGTTGCAGGGAGCTGAGATTGCGCCACTGCACTCCAGCCTGGCGACAGAGTGGGACTTCATCTCAAAAAAAAAAAAAAAAAAAAATAGCACTTTGGGCCAGGGTTAATCTTAGTTTTCTGTATGTGGTAAGATTTCAGGTGATTGTAATTTATTTCAATTAATTTATTTGTGACAAGGTCCTGCTGTTCAGAAGGGTCATGAACTCCTGGGCTCAAGTGATCCTCCAACCTCAGCCTTCCAAGTATCTGGGATTAAAGGAACAGGCCACCATGCCCAGCTCTATATTCATTTTTATTTATCTGAACAGTGTCATTTTTCCACAATGATCATGTGTAACTAGAATAATTTTTTAAGTTCATAGTCAATTCCACACTGCTTCAGTGAGTCAGGATTGGAGACACCCAATAAGCTTCGAAACAGCTTACTTAGTCTGTACAACTGCAAAGTGAACTCAGTGTGAAATAAAACACATCACTTTCTAAAGTTTGAAATTTAGTATCTTAATAAAATTAACGCAATTATTTTGCCGAAGACTGCTGCAAGCAGGCGCACCACCCAATTAGGAACTGGGGTCACAGAAACCTGGCTTGATCCTGACCAGCAATGTGATCTTGGAACGATCCTTCCCAATGTCTGAGCCTTATTGTCATCTTCCATTTCATTACCATAACTATTTATTTATATAGTAATTACTGAGTGTCTCCTATGTGCCAGGCACTTTTCAAGACACTGAAAATATAAAAGTAAACTAGGGGCCAGGTGCAGTGGCTCACACCTGTAATCCCAGCACTTTGGGAAGCCAAGGCCGGCAGATCACTTGAGTTCAGGAGTTCCAGACCAGCCTTGCCAACATGGTGAAACTCCATCTCTAATAAAAATAGAAAAATTAGCAGGGCATGGTGGCGCCTCACCTGTAGTCCCAGCTACTCGGGAGGCTGAGGCATGAGAATCGCCTGAACCTGGGAGGTGAAGGTTGCAGTAAGCCAAGATTGTGCCACACTGCATTCCAGGCTGGGTGACAGAGCGAGACTCTGTCTCATTTACCAAAAAAAAAAAAAAGTAAACAGGAGTTTACGAACTAAGTAAGAGCTTGCATTCTAATGAGAGACAAAGACAATGAACAGAATAAGTAAATTCTACAAACCATTCACAAGTGGTAAAAACTATAGAGAGAACTAAAGCAGAAACACGTAAGTACGGGGAGAAAGATGAAATTTTTTCAAAGTGTCAGAAAAAGCCCACCTTGAGAGCAACATCTGAGCAACAATTTTCATTTGTAATGAGAAAATACCAACTTTGTAAGGTTGTTACAAGCCTCGTTAACACAGCACAGGCCTCACCTGAAAGCTTGTTAGAAGCGCAGAATCTCAGGTCCCATCTCAGACCTACAGAATCAGAATCTGTATTTTAACAAGGTCCCCAGGTGATTTGTAAGCATATCAAAGCTTGAGAAACATTAATTAAAAGAATTAAATATTTGTGTTTGAACCAGGGCTGGCATATTATAAGGCACTCAATAGATTCAATAACTCTTAGTTTTCTTTCCCCATTAACATAACCCTTATATCTTTCTAGTTATAATTAAGAATAAACGGCCTGGCACAGTAGCTCATGCCTGTAATCCCAGCACTTTGGGAGGCTGAGGTGGGAGGATTGCTTGAGGCTGGGAGTTTGAGACCAGCTTGGATAACACATTGTGACACCAACTGTACAAAAAAATAAAATTAAATTGGCCGGGCGCGGTGGCTCAAGCCTGTAATCCCAGCACTTTGGGAGGCCGAGACGGGCGGATCACAAGGTCAGGAGATCGAGACCATCCTGGCTAACACGGTGAAACCCCGTCTCTACTAAAAAATACAAAAAACTAGCCGGGCGAGGTGGCGGGCGCCTGTAGTCCCAGCTACTCAGGAGGCTGAGACAGGAGAATGGCCCGAACCCGGGAGGCGGAGCTTGCAGTGAGCTGAGATCCGGCCACTGCACTCCAGCCTGGGCGACAGAGCGAGACTCCGTCTCAAAAAAAAATAAATAAATAAATAAAATTAAATTAAATTAAAAAATAAAAATAGCATTGAGAGTCTCTTCAATGAATTACGAATATTAAGCATATCCTGCCATTTACTTCCTTGTGGATCTAGCAGAAAATCTGAAAATAAAGCCAAGTTGCAGACAGAAGACAAATTCACATGCAGACAAATTAAAACTCCTGACTACATTAAAGTCTCTCATTGGTGGCCAAATTTCAGTATAATTTTTGCTAATGTTTTTCACCACCCACAAATAAGAGAGACTAAGTGTGTCCCTTGACATTTGGAGATAAAGAAGTCCACCTTAAAAAACAAGAGGCCAAAATGTTGGGAAAATCCTCTGGTGATAAAGGGAAAGCAAAATTTAAAGATAGAACAAAAAATAAGTAAGTAATTCAGGTTGCTGAAGTATTGTTTTCGTTTACAAAAACAGCAACTTGAGACGATATACACCTTTACGATTTTTCTTATAATTTGCCTCCTGCAAATAAGCTTAAGTCCTTGTCTCCTTTAGTTTCCCAGGTCGCCGTCCTCTTCTCTTTCCTAGCTAAATATCACAACATACTTCCTTAACTGCCTTCCATCTTTTCTTCAACGCTTACGTAAATTTTGATTTCAAAAGCAAAGGCACAATTGCGTTCTTCTAGCCCTAGTTACGCAGTAATATAAGGACCCGTGGAAACCTGCAGGTTGCCACGTTCATTGCAAAGTGTCCACAGTAAAGATAAAGGAGAAATTCCCCCGGCAATGAAAATGAGAATGAGATAAATTACCAAATTACATTAAAAGCGTGCTCTAATAGAGATTTAAAGTTCCTCTCAGAAATCCCGGAGGATTTTGACTTGAAGCAAAAGTGAGCTTCTTCTGGGTGGTGGAAAAGTAAACTGTTAACTATTTACTTTAGTGGTGGTGGGTGCTGGGAAGGAAGTGAGGCGAAATGCCTCTGCAGGTGACGGTGCAAGCCAATACCAGGAGGTCAAGTCACCAGTGTCCCTTCGGCCCTTAAGTCCAGGGAAACGCAAGGCAAGGGACTAGAGGACCACCCCCACCTTTCTCGAGCCCTTTCCCCGCCCATAAATGGCGGCGGTGGCGAAGATCCGGGCCCGCCGCGCGAGGCACTCTGGGAGCGGAAGAAGAAGGCCGCGCGAGGGCTGACGAACCGGAAGAAGAGGCGCTGGGCCTGAAAGCGCCCCGGTAATCGCTATAGCTGCCGGTGTTTGCGGGAAGCAGGGGACCAGGCCTGGCGAGCGGGGTTTGTCGCGATGCCGGAGCTGGCGGTGCAGAAGGTGGTGGTCCACCCCCTGGTGTTGCTCAGTGTGGTGGATCATTTCAACCGGTGAGAGAGCGGCCTATAGCGGAGCCGGCGGCGCCGCCGCTGCTGAGTCACGGGCACGCTGGGGATGGCGCGGCGGCCGCGGGCGACCTGGGGACGCAGACAGGGCGGCTGGTGACCCTTACTTGTTCAGGAGCGCAGACCAGCCTCGGCTCACGATGCCGGAGTCATCCAACCTCCCGCCCCTGCTCCAGCCGCCGCCACTCCGGGACCTGGGCTGCCTGTTCCGTTTACCCAGTGTGTTTTACAGAGTTCCCTTTCCGAGTTCGTTTTGCCGAAGTTCGTTTTACCGAAATCTGGGTGATGCCGGGGGTCGGGGGATGCGGCTAGCTTTAGTTGGCCCTGACCCCCGCCCCCAAGCTCGTGTCTGTCACTTCGTTTTGCCGAAATCTGAATGAAGCCAGGGTGGGGCGGAGGCAGGCTAGCTTCATTTGGCTCTGACCCCTGTCCCCCAGGGTCGTATCTTCGTTTGACCTAGTTGGTTTCAATGAAATGTGAATGATGTCTGGATGATGCACGGGTGGGGCGAAGGGGGCTAGCTTCATTTAGCCCCGCCCCCAGGCTATCTATGTTTATCTTCGTTTGATCGAGTTAGTTTCACCGAAATATGGATGATGCCGGAGTGGGGCACAGCGGGGGCTACCTTCATTTGGCCCCGACCCCCGCCCCAGGGTCGTATTTATGTTTATCCTCGTTTAACCAAGTTAATTTCACCGAAATGTGAATGATGCTTGGATGATGCTGGAGTCGGGCAGAGGGGGCTAGCTTCAATTTGTCCCTGACCCCTGCCCCCAGGTTCGTATCTATGTTTGTCTTCACTTGACCGAGTTCCTGTTATCGAAATCTGGATGATGCTCTGCACCAGGAAGGGCTTCCTGGATCAGCTGTGGTTTTAACCCATTAACATTTTTAAATGGGAATCTGATTAGACTCCGTCTCAAAAAAAGTACATATGTATATATAGTATATATGGATTATATACAGATGTATATATATATTAGATAGATAGATGAGGTTTCCGTTTGTTTTTTTTTTAAACATGAGGCTGGGCATGGTGGCTCACGCCTGTAATCCCAGCACTTTGGGAGGCTGAGACGGGAGGATCACTTGAGCCCAGGAGTTCGAAGCTGTCGTGAGCTCAGATCATGCCACTGCACTCCAGCCTGGGTGAGAGTGAGACCTTGTCTCCGAAAAAAAAAAAAAGAGAGAGAGAGAGAGAGACCAGTTGGAGATTTGGACCATAATGAATAAGGTAAGGAAACATCTCAGAGGTCATCTAGTAAGCTCACTGTTTGAGGGTGTACATCCACCACCCCTTGGCTTTGGAGCTGTTCATCCTGCTAGACCTGTTGCACGTTTCTAAGTTTTACAAGATTGTTAGTTGAATTGGCAAATGTAAAGACCCAGTTCAGAGCATCTGCTATAAAGCCATTGTTGCAGAGTGTCCATTCTCCTGCGACTTGCTCTGTGCAACTAATTCAGCTGGAGCCATAAAAGGACCCTCAGCCTAGGATATGTTGGCTTTTCTACAGTAGAGGAATTACTATTTTTCTCCCATGGGACACTAGGGGCAGGCACCATTTCAGTTCTATTCAAGCACTTGTTAAGAGCACTAGCTTTTAGACTGGCCTGGTGGCACATGCCTCTAATCCTAGCACTTTCAGAGACCGAGGTGGGTGGATTGCTTGAGCTTAGGAGTTCAAGACCAGCCTGGGCCACATGGTGAAAATCCCTTCTCTACAAAAAAAAAAAAAAAAAAATTACCGAAGTGTGGTGGTATGTGCCTGTAGTCTCAGCTACTCGGGAGGCTGAAGTGGGAGGATCACTTGAATCTGAGAAGTAGAGGCTGCAATGAGCCAAGATTGTGCCACTGGACTCCAGCCTGGGCAACAGAGTGAGACCTTGTCTCAAAAACAAAGAAGAGCACTAGCTTCTCTATCAAGTAAGTGTAGGGTTTTAAAAACACAAATGGACTTTGGTAGACCAAAACAAAAGCCCATGAGTATGGAAGTTTCCCTTGAAGTTGGAAACTCAATTTCCCCCTTACCGCTCCCCCCGCCCCTGAAAATTAGAGGCACCAGAAATACACAATCATTAACTTTGTTTGATTCAAACCCAAACCTAGTAACCATTTATAGATTTGCCAACTATATGCTAAGAAAAATACTACAATTAAACCAATGTGAAACTAGCCTCCCAAAGTGCTGAGATTACAGGCATGAGCCACCGTGCCTGGCCTACTCTAGCATCTTTATTCCAAAAAAGATTTCAGGATGAGAAAAGTTTAAAGGAGAAAGAAAGCTGCAAAGAAAAAGTTAAATGTGGTAGCGTGGCTTAAATGTGTTTTCAGACTAAGATCTGGGAAGTTTTGATTTTCTTCATTTTAAATTTCTGTGAAGTCTGAAATTTTCCCAAGCATGTATTACTTCACAGTCAATGTTAAGTAAAAACTGCCAGTGTGTGTCAGCACCAAGTTTGTGAATTGCCCCTTATAGTTAATACCAACCTAACCCTATTACATTGGTTTAGAGAGATTAGTTCCTAGGTAAACTAAATTGTATCTGTGCCATTGATACTTCCCATTGAGTATCTCATTGTTGGATCCATGCTTCTGTGCTAACCTATCCACACTGACCATCTGTTTTCTCGTTCAGAATCGGCAAGGTTGGAAATCAGAAGCGCGTTGTTGGTGTGCTTTTGGGCTCATGGCAAAAGAAAGTACTTGATGTATCGAACAGTTTTGCAGGTAAAAGACAAATTTTGTGTTTTTCTGAGCATGATTAAAATGTCAGTTGACTTTTTAAGAAAATAAACTTTTGTTACCACTTTTGACTACAACCCACAGATTGTGTCAGAATTGCTTAAGTATAGAAAAGAACCTGAAGATTGCACACTAGACCAGGCAGTAAATACTTTAGACTTGTAGGCCATGTGGTCTCCACTGCACCTGCTCCCCTCTGCTGTTGTAGTGCAGGAGCTGCTATAGACAACATGTAAACAAACGATGAGAGTGGCAGTATTGCAGCAACCCTCTATAAAAACAGGCAGCTGGCAGTTTGTCAACCCCCACAAACTGTTCAACCATGCTTCTTATAGGTAGAGTAAGGGGAGAGATGGGGAACTTTACCCGTGTGTGAATCCTCACAAGAACGTATCCATGTATTATTTGGATGATTAAAGCAACAACATGCTGGATGACCTCTGGACTAGAGGTCACTAACTCTGGTGTCTAAAACGACCAGCTAATAATGTCATTCGCCAAATGGAAAATACCAGGAAATTACTGGGCTTCTAAAAAACTGAAAAGCATGTGTTTTTTAAAGAGCTACAACCTCTACCTGGCTGTAGCTGGTAGTTGCCAGGTATTCCAGTTTTTTAAGAGAAGCTGGAGGTCTGGATTTTTCTGTGAACTCTCCCAGTTTTTGAGGACAGCTCAAAAAAAATTTTAATATCGTGTTGGGCAAGTGAAACACGTAAGTGAATCAGAACTGGCCTGAGGGTCTTTACTTGTGACTTTTGTTCTAGGTTTCTACCAAGCACCCTAAACTAACTTTTTTTTTCCTCTTTAGTTCCTTTTGACGAAGATGACAAAGACGATTCTGTGTGGTTTTTAGACCATGATTATTTGGAAAACATGTATGGAATGTTTAAGAAAGTCAATGGTACGTCTTGATGTTCTAAGGTGTTACAGCATAGAATTGATCTGTGTGTATGGGGTCTTCTGTTTGCTTTTCTTTAACATCAAGGCCCTTTCAGTTGGCTACACTTAGTTAAGACTAGTGGGAGTAGAAGAATAAGGTAGAATAAATGAAAAACTAGAGTAGCAATTTAAGGCCAAATAGGCCACCTGGGTTTGGGTAAGAGGGGAAATAACGCTCTAATTGCGGCTGAAAAGTGAAGAACCGTCCAGTAAAATCAGTCTTCCATTAGAGTTTTAGTACCACCAGGGTACATATGTCTGGAATTTTCAAAGAGGTAAAGGATATAACTTCTTATCCTTTTTGAGGGAGTTGTATCGAGCTTCATGAAATAGTTAAAGCCCACTAATTTTTTTCCTTCCTAGCCAGAGAAAGAATAGTTGGCTGGTACCACACAGGCCCTAAACTACACAAGAATGACATTGCCATCAACGAACTCATGAAAAGATACTGTCCTAATTCCGTAAGTGCTCTCTATTTTTAAAACTCTTGAATAATTTTTTGCCAGCCAGCTCAAGTAAGAGCATCCAGGGAAGAATTTGAGTAGCAAATCTGCTTACTGCTTTATCTCCATAAACTTCTGTTAATTTGTAGTGCTCTGTGAAATATACTGTAACCTAATACATTTGATAAATAACAGGTTACACCTGCTAAGTACCAGGTGTATGAGTTATGTAATCCTCTCAGTAACTGTATATCCTCTTTAGGAATGAGAAAACAGGTTTAGAATGGTTAGGAAGGTCTGGTAAGGGGTGGGACTGGGAGTGAAATTTTGGCTGTATTGACTCTAATGTCCTTGTGCTAGGCACTGTACTGCCCCTCAGCTTGTTAATGAAGGGGATCGAAAAGCAGAAAAAACGATGAGATCATTTGAAGTATAAATGCATTTTTGCTGAAAATTCTGGTTCATTTCTAATTGAATAGAAGAAATAGCTTTAGTAATTGTGAGAGGAATGCCTGAAATTACCCCTTTTGTGCTGGACGTGAGATGATTTGCTAAGATGTGTTTCTCGGCCAGGTATTGGTCATCATTGATGTGAAGCCGAAGGACCTAGGGCTGCCCACAGAAGCGTACATTTCAGTGGAAGAAGTCCATG